CAGGCACTACTAACCTTGTCCTCTGGATCAGAGAAGATACAGGGGGAAACCTTTCTGTGCTCTGAATAGTGCTTTTAGAGAGAACTTGAGCTATAGTTGCAGGCTGGCTATGAACCCTGTACAGCACCCAGGCTGAAATCAGACTTCTAAAGTCATCATGTTTCTAAATTCTAACATCTGGAGCTCTGTCAAATACTTACCATTACCACTCAGAATAAAGTTAATGTCAAAGTGAAGGACACAAAGTCCGGAATCTAGCACAATAGTTAACGCTTTATGCCTCCTATATTCCAAGCGCTGTTCTAAGTGCTGTACACATATTGTTTTTTTTAGTATCCAAGAATCAACCTATTTATCGAGCCAGATGTTGGTCTGCAAAGGTTCAGATGGTAGGTTGGACTAATTCTGGTGTGTTTAGGTATGAGATTATAGTACTCAACAAATGCCCACTGTTCTGGGTACTAAGGTTTATATTTAACGTTACCCATTATTTTATGGTCCATTATCAGTTGCTGTTGGTAGCATGTTCAGTACATGCTACTAGTCAGTTATCACTTGCTTTCCTTCATGTTTTAGATTCTGAACATGTCACTCTCATCCTGAGTCCCTTTTCTGATTTTCATAGCTTTTATTGTTTTCACACATTTGGTCACTCGATTATGTTCTTTTTCCCTTTTCATATGTGTTTTTAAAATGTTTAATGTATGTAAGGTTTTCTCACCAACAACTTCTTGAAGTCTGGTTTGGTGTTTTCCACAGAGTCAGTAAATCATTCCATAAATGCAGATACTATATTCCATACCTCCTTTCTAGCTGGATTCGAATCAAGTTATAATCAGCTGCTAAGAAACTGGTGATTTTTTGTTTGTTTGCTTTCTTGGAATAAACTTCTATGTAGCTAATGAATCTTATGTCTGCTTTAGTTTCATGTTTTCTCCTTTTACAGCCACTCAGACCAATGTTTAGATCTAATGGATAAGAACTAGGGAGGGAGAGACTGGTGATTTTTATGTATTTTATAATGTTTGCAACACTTTTTGATTTTCACAGGGCAAACACAGAAAATGAATCTTTTCCAGTCAGTAACAAGTGCCTTGGATAATTCATTGGCAAAGGATCCCACTGCAGGTAAACTTCATCTGTGCTTCCCTGTGAGTGGTGGTAGCAGTTAAAGTGTTCCATCTGTTAGTAGAAAGTTTGTAGGGTCTAGTTCACCCCGAGTTGCCTCTGAAGAAAGACCTGGTAGACTATTTCTGAAAGGTCAGTCATCGAGACCCTTGAGCACAGCTATGCTGACACCCTAAGGGTCACCGTGAGTGGGAATTAAGTCAGTGGCAGCAGTTTTATGATAGCATGCAAATTTAGAATGAAAGATTTGCTTGAAATAATTGCTCCTAAAGATTTAACCCTGTAAAGGGGGACTGATCACAATTTTCTACCTGTAACCCCCTCCCTGGGGGATGGACAACAGAAAAGTGGATGAAGGGAAACATTGGACAGTGTAAGACATGAAAAAATAATAATAAATTATAAATTATCAAGGGTTCGTGGGGGAGGGGAAAAATGAGGAGCCGATACCAAGGGCTCAAGTAGAAAGCAAATGTTTTGAAAAAGATGATGGCAACAAATATACAAATGTGCTTGACACAACGGATGTATGTATGGATTGTGATAAGAATTGTACGAGCCCCCATTAAAATTATTTTTAAAAAATGATTTAACACTGTATCTACTTGACATTCTCAAAACACTTGATTAAATGATAAAGGGTAAATAATCAAATGTGATATTAACCCACTTTTAAAAATTAGTACGAGCAGTCTCTCTGATACAGAAGTGTGATTTCTGTACAAGCTATAGTTACAAATCAACCCCTGTAAAGCCCAGTAAAATTCAAGGTACATGCGATGGTTTGTAGTAACATACTGGATGCTACTTCGAAGTATGCACTGAAACATTATTAGTACTGTACTAAAGATGCTTTAGAGTATGTAGAGTGTTTTGTCAATATTTATTATACATAGAGAAGAACAGTATATCTTATATACTAAGAGAAACATTTGACTGACTTTAAATATGAACCATACATTATATATAAATTCGACTTAAAGGCAGACTTAGGAACAGAACTCATCTATAACCTGCAGATTCTCTGTACATGTAGCTACTGCCACTAAGTTAACATTCCCTGGTAGTATGTGTGTCTGTGATACTGTATTAATGCTTTCTGGATGAACAGCCTTCTTGTCCTCCCATTTGCCCCTGGAGAAAAACTACAAGTATTACCTCATGAAGCAGTCAATATACATAATATGAAAAACTGATGCTTTCCTTCCTTTTGGGGGACATTTCCTTTCAAGTTGCTTATTTTTGAAATATCTTTATAAAAAAATAATTTATTGAATTATTGGTAGAAAAATAGTTGTTCTTCCATGATATATTTTAAAATATGATTGGCTTTACTTATATGTAGTTTAAACTATTACTCTTGGATTTATACTCGAGTATTCTTAGTTTCAAGGTCAAGTGAAGGATAAGTTATATTTAAGAAGGAAGCGAGAACTAGACTTGAGAATGAAATGAGGGATTGAGTCTCTGTTCTGAAAATTTATTCAAATTGGTGACTTGGATTTTAATTTAAAAAAATTTTATTATGAACCGAAAAATGTTTCTGGCATTAATTTCCCAATTTTCCCCTACAATCTTGTAGCACCTAGTCTGACTACTGAAATATGTATACCTAAGTTACATGAGAAAAATATATTGCATGTCCAACTATTTTTATTAATGTATTTTAATAACAATAATTTCTTAGCAGTTTTGTTTTTACAGATCTTAGAAAGGTGACAGGTATCAGCATTTCTCAGGTGGAGTTTAATTTCCACTAGAAAATAGTATAACTTTAATATTTCTAATTTGTTTAAAAGTTTAAATTGTGGCTAATGTAGCGATATGTACTCACTAACCAAACAGTGGTTAGCATATATACTTATGATTCCTGAGTTCATATATAGCCACCGAATTGATTCTAAGTAAGTTGGATATTGGCTCTTAAGTAATTGCTCAAGTTAAAGCTGGTTTGTTTAGAATTTGATCCGGAGATGATTCTTATATATAAAACTAAGTACATTGAAACACAGAGAAGTTTACTTTCTCAGGGTTCACATGGTTAATTAATTGCATTCATGGGACTAGATTTTAGATCTCTCACTAGCCACTCATTTTTACTTTACTTTAAAGCTCATCTCAATTTTACCAATACCATTCTTTGTCTTGTTTACTATGTTTCAGCCACACTTGTTCCTTTCTGTTAACATCATATACGTCATTTTTCTATTTAAGACCATTCATTTGTCCTCGAGCGGCCTTCCGTAGCTCTTCAGATGGCCGACTCACAGCACCCTATGTCTAAGAAAAGTGGTGGCCCGGGACTCAGGCACCTCGAGTGTGAGCCACAGGTTTACTTGTGCCTTTCCGAACTGGCAAGTCGCTGTGCTTCTTCTCTGGGCTCATGTTCCTCATGGGTTAAACAAGAGGAACTTCTAGATTAGTGGTTCTTTCTCAAGAAGGGGCGTTTTCACACCCCTCCCCCCCTAGCATATTTAGCAATGTCTGGAGAGAATTTTGGATGTCACACTTTGTGTGGAGGTGCATACTTCGTGGCTAGAGTCCGTAGATGGTGCTAAACATCTTGTAGTACACAAGACAGTACCCATGCCTAAGAAGTGCTAAGCAAATAATGCCAAGTTGAGATAGCCTGGTCTAGAGCTATGGTTGATTTCTGTTTTGTGATATATAAGGTAAACATTTCTATTACTTCTTTTTCAAAGTTAGCATAATTTAGGGATTATTAAATTAAATGTGCTTTTAAAACATTGTTTTTCAGTAATATTTGGTGAAGATGTTGCCTTTGGTGGAGTCTTTAGATGCACTGTTGGCTTGCGAGACAAATATGGTAAGTTAGTATTTTTATATATGAATTATGTTCTTGTAGAACTTTTACTTAAAGATCTTAAAAATACAGAACTGAATTTGATGGGACTGGGCTTTTTCCCTAGGAGGTCTCACAAGATTCCGCCTCTGACAGGTGCAGTCTTATCCCTCTTCTATCACTCCTTTTACTAAAAAGAGACTTGATTTTCCCTTCTCTGACAGGTGTCTACCTTACATAAGTTCTGAGTTTTTCAGGTTTTTACTATACAACATTTGCCTGTCAAATTGTTTAGCCATATGTTTCTTGTATAGATGGACTCCTTTTCATTTCCACAGACACACGGATAATTCTGATTTAGTCCAGATTACACATACATAGATTTAGAAACTTTATTAAATGTGTTATTTATCCTTTCATTCATCCGCCAAGAGAACCTCTGAGATCTTACTGCTTCTTGCCTTAGCCAATCTCAGCTCTGTTACTTGTAGTTCAAGATTCTGTCAGTTCTGTTAACATATTTTCTGTAACATATTTAATCTGTTATTACTCTTCTACACAATTCTTTTGGTTTATCCCAACTCATCTTTGTCTTTTGCCTGGAATGTGATGAATTTCTGTTTATTGGTTTTACTCATTTCATTGACTCAATTAGATTTAGCAACCCCTTAGGGTGCATTTTAGCCCATCCTAACATTCCTCCTCCTACGACCTGCTTTGTAAAGAATGTGTTCTGACTTGGGACTTGTAGGGATGCGCTTGACATTTTAATTTTTTTGGCAAAACAGTTAACTTTGGGGATAGGAGGAATGAACAGCTTCCTTACTTCTTGCCATTGCCATTGTTGTGTGAAGCTCATGCGTAGGAGTGCCGGTACCGCTCAGGCTTTCATTTTATTATGGTGTGCCATTCCCTCTGAGAGTATGTTCTATGCCAGTGAAACCTGTCATAGCAGGTCTGCTGTCACTTACTCGGAACGCCCAGCTTGGTCTTTTCCCTTTCACTTGTAGCATGTGGAGTTTCCAGGGTCCGGTCCCTCTGCTTTCCCCTCATCCTCTATAATAGTTGGTTAGAGTTTGAGATCGATGGGAAAAGGTTATTTTTTCCTGTTCATTCAGAATATTATAAACGTTCAGACCTTTACAAAAATTTAGAATCTTTAAAAATGTTGATTTTGAAAGTAATGCATGTATGTGTGGAAATATCAAATCCAGTTTACTGACATTAAATTCAGTATCATTAAGTTAAATTCAGTATCAATCCTATTCCCATCTGTTCCACTGCTGTTCTGATACCAGCTGCTCAAGCAGCATTTCTTCCTCTGTCCTTCAGCACCTCGAGCTGGGTCAGACCTCCCAAGTGAAGGACACAGTTCTTCAGACTGCCAACTGTGTCCAAGACCTCAGGCGCCGGCTACAAGCTTGGGAGTTTCCACAGCACCCTCACTTCTGACCAGATGTTGACAAATTTGATTTTCCCTTCCCACTTTCAGGAAGACACTTGTAAGCTTGGGAGTCCCTAGAGACCCTAGCACTTCTGACCTACTATTGTCTTAGGTTTGAGAATTCCAAGCATTTTGTTTGGTGCAGAATGCATGGGACATTTTATATGAGGGTAAATCAGAAAGTCTTGCTATAAAGTCATAGCGACTTTTATTAAACAAAATACCAAATTGTGAAGGTATTGTTCTTGACATATCCTTCTTTTAGATCTGTGCACTTCTGAAGGTGGTAAAACACTTCCCCAGGGAATTCTGTGCTTCTCCACTTAAACCACCTTTGGCATCCTCAAGGGACTCAAATCGCTCCTTTTCAAGGCTTTTGAATTTGAGGAACAGAAAGAAGTCTGGAGGGGCAAGAGCTGGGCGACAAAGTGGAAGCCGCAGAGTATTGCCCAGTGGAATCCTCCGAGGACTCCCTGTGCCGCCCTCGGAAAATGAACAGGTGTGGTGCTGTGACGCATCACTGATACTCACATTTTTATCACCAATATAGTTTTCAACTTTCTTAAATCCTTTTTTTAAAAAAGCAAGCGCCCTTGATCATCCAGTGTTCTTTGAGAAATCTTATCAAGTTTACATCTCTGGAATCCCAAAGAACATTCCCCTCCCCTTCTGAGTTGACCTCTCTGACTGGAATTGAACTGTCCTCGCAGATCTCCATAGAAACTACAGTTTCAGTGAGCTTTTTCTGAAGACACCGAAGGAGACTGAGGCACGTGTGTTCCCGAGAGAACCTGTGTGCAGCCAGCCAGGGATCTGAGAGACATAATTAAACACATTTCGTTTGGAATAAACCCATGCACATATGCACTGAAATCCTAGTAGCAATATTTCTTGACATTTTTTTGGACTAATAACGATCGTTTTATTATAGCAGAAATGATGCAAATGAAGAGCTATAGAAGTTGAGGTCTAGAAGGGTTCTTTCCCAATGCAGAGCTTCCATGTCCCCCAAAGAGACAACCCCGCTTTTCTGTGTGCATCAGTGTGTTCACCATCCGGGAAACCCAGGGAACTTAGGCATCCGGCTTCATTGCCGGGGCGTGGTTGACTGAATCACAGCCCTCGTCAGTTCGCTCTCGCTTTTTTTGTTCTGGCCTGTCCAGCCTTCACCTTGGAGGTAGTTCATTACCATAGACCAGGGGTCCTCAAACTTTTTAAACAGGGGGCTAGTTCACTGTCCCTCAGATCCATTGGAGGGCTGGACTATGGTTTAAAAACAAACAAACTATGAACAAGTTCCTATACACACTGCACATACTTTATTTTGAAGTGAAAAAAACTAACGGGGCAAAAACACCCGGCCGGCCAGATAAATGTCCTCGGCGGGCCGCAGTTTGAGGACGCGTACATAGACCCTCTGGTGTGTTTTGGAGGCTTCTTGAAAGATAATCACTAGGGAGAGTCCAAGGTTTTATGGGTTATAGCTCAGGAACCAAGACAAAGACAAAACTGGGTAAAGTTACATTTTTTATCCTACAATTTATAACGATAGAAATACACATACGCATGAAGAAGAAAAGTTACTCATCCTGTGAGCAGTAACTGAGAGATAACAACTATAGGTGTCTTTGTATATCCACTTCTAGACCGTGTTAGAATCTATTAAGACTTTTCCTTCTGTAACGTAGGTTTTTTTATACCTGGTCTAACTGTGCTGCTGAGCTACTTCTCGGCATTACTATTCGGTCTGGCCAGATCCAGTTATGGAGCAGGCCGGCTGCTTGCTGCTTTTAAGCGGAAGAGCCCTCTCTTGACTGTCCCTATCCAGGTTCTTATCTTTGATACTTTGTTTCTTATTGTGCTCATCCTGCCTGGAGCATTCCATTCCTGTTCCCTTCTCCTTCCACACTGACGACCTCTAAATTTCCATTCTAGTCCAGAACCCTGTCCTGAGCTTCAGATCCCCATGCCCAATGTGAGTAACCACCTTAACGTCTTCACTTCCGTGTCTCATAGTCCTTTCACACGGAGGACCTCCAAAGCTGAGCTAATTGCATCTTCCTGGTGAATGCATGTTTCCTACTACAGCTCCTACCTGGGCGCTCCAATCTTTTACGCCAGAAAGTGGGGGGGGCTCCTAATCTTTTCCTTCTGACCGTATGCATCCAGTCAACTTTTGCCAGTTTCATCAGTAGAGTTTGTCTTTAATTACATTTAATTTGAATCCTCCATTCTCATAACCCTTGTACTTCAGCCCCTTACTCATCACTGCATGGGTAACTTAATTGTGTCTCTTAGTGTTCTCCCTTCTGGTAGTTGTAGCCTCTGTCCAGTTTGAGCATCATTATTTGAGCACATGGTTATTCTGAAATTCACATTTCTTTGTTGGATATATAAAAGACAAAATTAATCATTCATTCACTTTATTATTAATGTTGATTTGCTGTTGATTTACACTTTCCCCGGCCCCACTAGATATCACTTATCCTTCGCACTTGTCATCTATAAATTTCTCCCTCACTGATGTACCAGACAAACACGTGACTCTTCTTTCTTCCTTTCAGAGAGCCCTCTTCCTAACTTTCCAAGCACACTCCAACACCACCCTATCACTGGTCAGATGATTTCTCATACCCTTTGTAGGTGGTAGTGCAGGTTTTTCTTACCCAAGTTTACACACCAGGCAGCTCTTCAGGAGCAAAAGATCTTTTCGCTTGTGCATCCTTGACTCCTAATCCCATATCCGACCATATTTATTAGGCATATGTTGTTGAGTGAGTGAATTTACCCTTTGCATTCTTATCCAGATGGTGGCTTACTGTACCTATTTTGTATTTTAATATTAAAAGAATCTAAAAACAATTTTATTGGCATATAATTCATATATCATACCGTTGAATAGTTCAGTCACATCAAGAAGAGTTGTACAGCCAGCACCACATCAGTTTTAGAACATTTTCTTCATTCTTGTACTCATTGTTATTAGCCCCCCCCCACATTTGTCCCTATTTGCTTGGTCTAATTTTTTTTTTTTTTTTACAGAAAATTGGTTAAAATGGAGAGAGATTAACTGTCACTTGAAAAGGCCATGGGCACTTGCAGATTTATGTCTACAGTGTAGGAAGCTGAGCTAATTAATTAATGGAGAGTTAGCTGTGTTCATTTCATTGTCAGCAACTCCGATGAATTTTTATAACAACTTTAAGATTATGATGAAGTGTCAACTCATTCCAAATTGTTTGAGATGACCCATTGAATCACTATTAGTCTCTCTAATGAGAAGTGAACTTTCAGAAGCGAAGAATAAAGAAAGTGGGGAGGAAAAATGTATTAGTAAAGTCGTAGTTTAGCATATTTAGAGACATCACTAGCGTGTGTGTAAAATAGCAGGTCAGTGAAAAGAAGAAAGACCCTCAGTGAGATGGATTGACACAGTGGCTGCCACATGGGCTCAGACGCAACAACGCTTGTGAGGATACAGGCCTTGCTGTTCCATTCTGCTGTGTGTGGGACCAGCTTGATGACACCCAATGACCACTGCTTGTAATTATCTGCCCTTTTCAATATCGACCAGGAATTT